AGGAGTAGCTCAAAATATCGGGATATTCAATGGAATAAAGATGAAAATAAAGTCTTTACATCGCACGCGCAAGTCTTAGATAAGTATGGCATTGAATTATTAAAGAACACAAATGAATTATTTTCTTATGTTTGCTGTATTAGGTAAGACCTATCCTAGAATGTTATCATGCACAGCACATTTACTTCAAATCAACAGACTAAACAAATAGCACATGCTATTATATACTGGTTTCCCAAAAATGATAATTAAATAACTAATTCAACAAATAAAGAATGCAGAATAAGTTTACCTTTGATACGGCTGCTCTCTGGCAGAGATTTATACAGGTAATCCATAGCAGACTTGGCCCGTTTACATATTGCCCCAGTCCCATTGTTATTGTCTTTTAAGCGGTCCAACTCATTGATCACTCGCCATGGCACTAGCAAGGTTGGGTGTTCGCTATACCCTGGGGAAAATTATTGTTATAGTAATCATTAAGCCCTAAGCACAGCAAAATGGAGATAGATGATTTTTCCTATAAGAATTCATACATAGCAATAAACTCAAAATTCTGAAGTAATTAGTATAAATTATGCTTACCTTTTATATGTGAATTCACCACATTTTTTATCACATCAAGTTCGTGTATAAAAATGTTTGTATCAACCACTAAAACTAGATTGTCATTGTTACTACCTACATTGTCTTTTGTATATTGTACTGCTGGTACATTTTTTATTACCTAGAATATAAAACACAAAATAATCAATACAAGAGGAATATTAAGGATATTATTCCAAATGTTAAAACATTGTCTTACCTCTTTACAGTCCACATCCATAGCTTCACCTGTATAAGATGCTTCATTTGTATATTTAATATCTTTTGTATATGCTATTTCTTTACTAATATTTAAACTATCATGTGACGTATCAGACTCTGGCTCATTACTCAACCTTGACCGCAATGCTTCCATTCGATCTTTAGCCGATGAAAAAGTTTTGATCGGTGTCTCTTTGCTGGCCACTTTGTAGGACAACTTAGATTTTATAGCCGATACTAATTTACTGGCTTCTGAAAACTGTGGTGGAGTGGCAGGATGTTTCATAAACGGATACTCTGCTGTTTGATTGCAAATGCCCTCTTCTATGTCTGCAAAAGTATCCTTTTGCTTGGGTTTATTGCAGTATTCTTCAGGCAGCTGAGCTTTCATTGACGATATAATTTTGTTAGCAGCGAAAAACTGTGATGGTGATGGTATTGATTGGAAGCTGTCGCTGCTCGGTGACTGAGTGTTGGTGGAACATTTTGAGTCATTTGTATTTGGACTTTTGAGTTCTGTTTTCTGAACTTTAGCTTGTGGTTCTGTTTGTGTGTGTGATGCATTTGGAGATATTCGTTTATTGTTAGCTTTAGAGGGAGATTTCTCATTGTTGTGGAATTCTTCTTTCTGGGTATCAGCTGCTAGTTGGGCTCGGAGCTGGGAGAGGCGAGAGTTGGCACTGTTCTTGGGTGTTGTTTTCAAAGCTTCTGGTTTGGGAGGACTCCCTTTTTTATGGGAGTCAGGAGGTTTTGATGGGCTTGGCTTTTTAATGGGAGTTTTAAGTTTTTCTGGAGTGGGTGGTGCTGTAACAAATATGGTTTTTAATGGGTTTAACTAATCTAGGCACTACTTACTTATAAATAGATATACAGAATACTAATCATAAACATATTTCATTAAACACAGTACATAGCCTTGTATGTGCTAGAAATTCAGAAAAGTAATTTGCTATTATAGTGGTAGTATTTTTTATTCCTTTGGTTACTTTTCCATCTACCCACTAAAGTAAAAAACAAATGGGTGTTTGATCAAAATACCTTCTTTTTGTTTCTTCTTATTTGGACTCCCTTCTTTACCATCACTGTGCCTTTTCAGATTCCTTCTTTGGGCTTCTTCTCGCCTGTTTTTCTCCGAGAGACTGATTTTCCTCTTTCTTTGCTTGTCAACCTTGAAAAATATTGTAGGAATTATTGATTATCCACATAGGTAATTCAAAATTCAATATTTTCATCAAAATGCATAGTGGGCTATAATATCACTGTTTAAACAAGAGCAATAACACATAAATATATTAAATTGAGTAGTAATTGTACGTAAACGCAAACATTTTTCAATAAATTACGAAACAAACCTGCGGTTCATTCCATGAAGATTTCCCCGTTCTCCTATTGAAGAAATACTTTCTCCCGGGGGTATTTTTAGATATACATTGCACCCAACCGTCAGGTAACTTCTTGGAATCATTATTACCTGGATCCATGGCTATTTACATGAAAATAAACAATGAAATGCATTTACACTTTGTAAAGAAACAATTCGCCCGTTTGACAAAAGGTAATGATTTTTTTTNAACTCTCATAATAAGGAACACAGAGATAGAGGAGAAAGAAAACTTTCTCATTAATTGTAGATTAAAAAACCTAATAGCTATACATTTTCAATATTTTCTAATATTTTTAAGATCATAACCTCACACAATGACACAATAACATTTTTTTTTTTTTGTTTCGTTCTTTCCTCTTGCAGGAAAAGGCAAAGGCATTCGCCATACAGCCAAGTCTTCAGTTTGTATTCACGGAGACGGCGCGAGAGAGAGGAAACATTTTCATTTTGAAGCCGACTGAGTAATTTTTTTTTTTTTCCCTTCAACTTCGGCATTGAATTTCTTCAAATTTCTTCTTTAGTGGTAACTAAGAACTTGTATAATGCTACGAAACAGTTTTCATTTTTGAGAAGATCAGGTAGAGAGCGCGGGATGACTTCTGGTTCTTTATATACTTGTAATAAGTCTTCTATCAAAATGAGTCTTTGGAGTGAAAATATAGAACACTCGAAGAATATGTGATGGAGGGATTCATTAGCTTGATTGCAGAATGAGCATGATGGGGAGGTGATCATGTTCATCCGGTGGAGATGTTCATTAAATCGGCCATGTCCAATTCTTAATCTTGATATGTAAGAATAAAACTTTCTGTTCTTATAGGTTCCTTTTGTAAACCAGGGCTTTCCTATTCCATGGTTAATCTGGTGGTACCATTTTCCTTTAGTTTGAATACTTTCTTGCCAATGGTCTAGCCATTTTTTCTTCATTAATTCTTTTAAAAGGGTTGAACAGTCTGTAATTATGATATTTTGATCTTCTTAGAGTTAACTTTTTTTAAATGACAGTTAACTTTTTAAACACAGAGTACGTAATGTACAGATATGGACGTAATGTTTTTACTTTTTAGATTTAAAAAGAATAGTGCAAAGTTATTTTTATAATAGTCGTATTGTACCTAAAAAACTTTCAGTCTATTTATGTAAAACGCCAACTGTATAAAAAATAATATAATCAATTTATCTAGACACGCGGTAGCGTGTCAAGCCAAGTTCAAGCAAAGGAACTGGCTAGCCAGCGCCAAGTGTAATATTACACGAACCATTTGGTGCCACTTTTAATCCTATGTATTATAGTTCCAAAATACTGAACTGTCCTATCGATGACATTGACAGCGGGGCGCCACCGTCTATACCGAATCGCTGGTTCCGATTTTTGCCATGTTGGAAACCATAAAGTTGAACGATGGTAGCGCCCCCCTGTCATTGAGTTTGGCGGGACAGTTCAGCGTGGGTCATCTATAACAGGCAAGTGACAGCCAACCGCGCGCGGGTGTCTACTCACTATCCACTGTCTTTTCCAAACAAGGCCGCGGGTAGTAGCTAAGTACGCCTACCTTTTACGTTTGTCATTCACCATGGTTGCTCATTAAATTTCATATTAATAAACATTAGTAAAATGTCGGTTTACATAAAGGACTTCCTACTAGAGGTCGCGGGTTTGATCCCCGACTACATTTCAACATTTGTTTGATATTTATTTACACGATAAGTAAGTATGAGTAGGTAATAGTTATTTAATTTTATGCCTACATGATTAATATCCTTGGACTTTTTGAACTTCACCTTTAGTCCCAACTCAACATGTCGGAATTGCCGGAATACCAAGTAAGAGGACCCGGGTTCGATTCGCGGCTGGGCAGAAATCTAGTCAGGGTGTTACGTACTATATGCTACTTTAAGTAGTACGAATATATCCGTTAAGCTAGTACCTACTAGCACCTTATAAATTTTTGGATACTGTACTTTGCAAAGTCAGCCTGTAACATACCCACACAACTAACCTACCCCTGTATTAAGATCCTTCCTGGCACTCTACTTATTAATGATATCAAACAAAGCTCTTCTCTCAAATCCTCTGATCCTGAAAGAGAAATACCTTCCTTTTGTTTTTGTCTTTACAAAGACTCTCTTAAGCTTAGTTGCACCATTTTACTTTAACTTTGACAAACGTCAAAAGTCTGTTAAACTCCGTACAAAAACACCGGTTAACGTCATAGTTACTGTTTAACAGTGTGGTATTTTGTAATGCCACAAAGTATTCTTAATAGTGCAGATAGAAAATTTTACTCAAAGGAAACATTCCTTGATTTCCCAAAATGTTATTGCCACACCCGGGAATCGAACCAACTAAAATATGTTAAAAATTACATACTGTATTTACAAGCTTTATATTGTTTTATTGCATTGATCGTTAGGGTTCAGTATAAGGATAAAATCTCTCTAACAAGCTTGATAAATCAAATGAGTGGAAAATCATGAAATCTTATATTATTTACATAAAATTGTATGGTATGATAGTGAATTTTCGAAAAAAAAAAAAAGGTAATCTTTGAATGCAGTTCTCTTTCTTTTCAAAAATAAATAAATGTTTTCTTTGAGTAAAATTTTCTATCTACAGTATTAAAAGTACTTTCCCTACAGGTGGTATTACAAAATTCCACCCTGTATTAGGTGGTGCAACTCAGCTCAGGGGCGAAGTCGCGGGCTCAGCTAGGTCACATCAACGTCACCTACTTATCTCATCACAATATAAACTTTTTCAACCGCACGTGCGCACTTATAATTACTTATAACCACGCACAGTGAAGACAGTCGATCGTGAAAGCCAGTGGATTGAAGACCATGGAAAAGTAAGTTTTTCTATTGTTATACACAAGTATTTATATGAGTTTTATTTGGTTTAATTTCGAGTCTAATTTAATTTTTTGCCAAAAAAAGTAAAGTAAATTTAAGCATTTTCAGACGATAAGGGAGAGTCCGGCAATTTGGACCAGTTTTTTTCAATCCCATTTTACACATAGTTTTCTTTTGTTTTGCTAATGTTCATGGTATATAATTAAAGAGAAATTATTCAAATTACTGTTTCATAGGTATTAATCAACATAATTGTTGTATATTTAGCACAAATCAACAAAATACGAGTTCAGTTCAGAGCTTCGGTCCAATTTAGCCAACCGGTTCGATAATTTGTACCACAGGGTTACTAAATTGGATTTCAATAAATTTCAAGCCTTTAAAAAACTATGGCAAAATATTATACGATACATTCATAACAAATTAGGTAACGAAAAGGAACAGTAGTTAATAACATAGACAATCGATATTGTTTTACACGTTATCACGATTTTGAGTAAAAGTTTTGTAATTTCAATTATCGTAACGCACACTTGTACCTAATCTACTTTGCCAGTCTTTTGCTTTCATTTATTGTTAGTCAAACATAACTACGCAATTATAACTTCAAAATATGATGAACTAAAAAAAAATTCAAAATCCTTTGGTAAAGTTCCATACAACTTGATGTGGTACAATTTAGCCGACTAGGTGATAGTGATTTTAAAAAATCGGTAAAAAATATAGCTTATAAATATCGAAAATTTTTTCAAATAATTGTAATCCACACTAATTTACGCTTCTAAATAATATATTAGAAACACCCTGTGATTAAATTTAACAATATTACAAACTAAACATGCATTGTCAAAAGTTACTTGAAAATAATGAAAAAATAATCTTCAAAATAAAACACACGTGTTCGTTGTCACGGCAAAAACCAAATGGCCGATATTAATTGAATTTAGTTGTGTATCGCTGAGTGTTGCAATTACAGACATTCAATAAATACTTTACGAAATATGAGGGTGGTACAATTTACCCGGCGGTACAATATACCGAACTCTCCCCTATATTGTCCCGAAGTGGTGGTAGGGCAAGATACATTTGGGACGCATAAAATAAATGCCCTGAAAAAGCCCTAATACCTACCTAAAAACAAAGAATTTGAATTTATCAATCCCAGTAAAAATAATGTACTAATTAAAAATTATTATAAACCTCTTTTTACGAAAAAGATCTGAACATATTTTCGAATTTACATTATTTCATTTTTTGACCTGTAATCGCCAGATCGTCGGTCCACCTAGTGGGGGGCCTGCCCACACAAGCCTATCGGCCCGTGGTCGCCACTCGAGTACTTTTCTGCCCCAGCGGGCGGGACACAGTTAGGTATGTGCCCCGCCCATTGTCACTTGATTTTAGGAAATCTGTAGATAGGCTATGTCGGTCACTTTGGTATTCTTATCTCCTCATTTCTGAAAATTCTGATTTGATCACGCATGGAAACTCCGAGCATAGCACGCTCCATAGCTCTTTGGGTGACCCTAAGCCTTCTTATGAGGCCTATAGTAAGCTCATTCCTTAATAACTACGATATAAACATGAATAGCTGACGGCCGCTGGGGCAGGAAAGTTCTTGAGTGGCGACCACGAGCCGGAAGACGTAGCGTGGGCAGGCCTCCCACTAGGTGGACCGAAGATCTGGTGAAGGTCACGAGAGGCTCCTGGATGCGAGCGACGCAGGACCGGTCTTTGCGGAAATCCTTGGGGGAGGCCTTTGTCCAGCAGTGGACGTCTTTCGGCTGAAACGAACGAATAAAATTGCCTTAATTATCTCTAACTTGCTTACTTCTATCTAAATGAAATTGCGTGAGTTTGAGCAATAGGGATGTTTCCTGGGTCAAAAAGCAAGAGTTTTAATTAGTCCGTCAGTTAACTTATCAAAAAATACTCTACAGGTATTTTTCACTTTTTCAAACTAATGAAAATTTAAAGAGATAAAGCGCGCCAAAGTTCATAAGAAGAGGCCCGTGACGTCAATGCTTGCATAAAAGTGCCGCACGTTGTGACGTCGTGCGGAATTTCAACGCACCATAACTATATAATTATTTGTTAGATTGACAAATAAAAATATATGAAAAATATATTTTTTGACCGACCGTGGACCGACGACATCGTAAAGGTAGCAGGGAAGCGCTGGACGCAGGCCGCTACCAATCGATCAACATGGAAAGCATTGGGGGAGGCCTATGTTCAGCAGTGGACGTCCTGTGGCTGAAATGATGATGATGATGATGATGATATTTTTTGATATTAAACATGACGGACTAAAAAAATTTTTTTAGGAAACTAGCCTATAGTAGAGAATCTATTAACTCAAAGAATAGAATAATAAGAGCGATCAGGGTAATCATTGATAGAGACATTAAGATGAATGCTACATTGTTTAAGATCTAATTGGTTTCTGCAAAGGGATAAACATATTTGGATACTTCTTGTACTAAATAATAGAAAAGACCTAGACAAATAAAAAGGTTTACATTTAGCATTACCTTGCTGAGTACTAGTAGTAGTACCAATGATTTCCATAATGACGGTTGGTAGCGGCAGTAGCGGTCTTCATAGGAAAGCGTTGCATAGGACGTCCACCCACAGGTGGACCGACCACCTCATAAAGGTAGCAGGAAGGCGTTTGATGATATATTTTATTATATTATAATAAACTGAAATAATTATAATAAACTGAAATAATTATAATAGACTGAAACGAGAATTTTGACTCTCGGAAACCGAGATCCTAAGGCTGAGTTGCACTTTTACCGTAACTTTGACGATAACCGGTGTTTTTTTTATGGAGTTTGACAGATTCTTGACATTTGTTAAAGTTAAAGCAAGATGGTGCAACCCAGCCTAAAACTTTTAGACAGGAAATCTTCACCTTTTTCAGGTCAGCTCGCGAGTACAAGCTGTCAGCTGAAGAGAAGCAGTTCTTCGCTGATAATGGGTACCTGGTCATCAGGCAGTTCTACGACACTGCGGCTTGTGAAAACTTAAGGTAAGTACGCCCATAACTTATCAAGGCAAACACCATAGCACTTTACATACTCGTATGTTAGCATAGTAAAGCGATAATTTCGTTACGGGTCCAATGACAGTCTAACTTTCCCCCGGGACAAACTTGACCTTCACTGGTTGGGTTTTTATTTGCGGTCAAGCTGTAGATCCTGGTTGCAGCGGTGAGAACGAGGTGGGAATAGTCACATATAATAAGTGACAATAGCCCAATAATGTCGATTTCGAATTGGCCGAATCAAGATCTGAGGAATCCCCTGCTGCTGGACTACTTAGGCTGAGTTGCACCATCTTACTTTAACAGTACCTAACTACGAGTATAACCATAACAGGTTCGTTTTTTTATTTGTTGTTTGTTTTTTGATATCGGAAAATGTATCTAACAAATCGTTTTATCGTTAAATATGGTGCAATCCAGTCATATTCTGGTGAGAACCTTGTGCATTAGCTTACCACGAGGCCAACGGGACTATTATGATGTTTAGTATAAAAATGTGGAATTAAACTGATGTCATCGAATGTTTCCAGGAAGAGATTCCTGCAAGTAGTGAATAAAGAAGTGAAAAGAGGCCGAATGGCGGTCATCGAGGATTTGGAATTGAAGAAGAAGACGAATATTCCAGAAGAATATGTCAACAAGGTAAAGGGGAAGCAAAACTTTTTATTAATATTTTCCCTTCCTCAAACCCGTTTGGGCAACGTGGAGTGAAGGCATATCCTTTCATTATCATCATCATTTCAGCCATAAGACGTCCACTGCTGAACATAGGCCCCCCCAACGATTTCCATAATGACCGATTAGTAGCGCAACCAGCGCCATCTTGCTACCTTGAGGTCATAGGACCGCTTTGTGGTTGCACGTCCTACGTTGCGCTTTCCGGTACGTGGCCTCCACTCTGAACCTTACTAACAGTTCTGAGTACTATGCAACCATACCAAACCATAACATATCCTTTGCCTTTGGTAAACTAAAGAAGGTAACACTCCTAAGGGCTTAGTGTGAGTTTACATCAAACGCCGTCACTAGTGAGCGCGTAAAAAAATTACATGAAGGGCCGATTCGACCAAACTTTTATCCGAGAATAACTCCTGGTATGACCTGTGGTATGACTGGCACATTGACAGCTTCAGTATGGGAAACTGAAGATTTATTCTGAGATTAATATTTACTCTTGTTTGGTCGAACCACCCTAAATGTATGACGGATTGTACAGCGCCCCTAGCGGAAACTTTCAAGAAGTACAATTTTCATATATCTATTTTTTTAACGCGCTCACTAGTGAGGAAGTTACTTTGGTGTAAACTCACACTAAACCATCTGCAGTGGCGAGACCAAAATGACCATGATGATTATGTTCATAACAAAATAGTATTTTAATTGCAGCTTAACTCATTGAGTTACGACTCAGAGTTCCAGAAGCACACTGAAGACGCTCGGATGGTGGACGTCCTGTCACAGCTGCTGACAAAAGACACTGTCATCATGAACAGCATGCTCATCAACAAGCCTCCGGGCACTCCGTGGCATCCTCCTCACCAGGTGAGAGTGACTGTATAGATTATAGACCATTGGATCCCAAACTTATTTGAGACGCGCCCCCTTTCGACCATACAAAAAAATTCTCTTCCAGTCAAGATTATTTATTGGTCATGTCGAGCAGTCTGGAATGCATTCTCCCAGCGGTCGCAGGTTTTTTATACTTAAGTACACAGATGGCCCGCGCCCGCCTTTAAAGGTCTTTGCGCCTCCCCTGGGGTGCGCGCCCCCCACTTTGGGAACCAATGGTATAGACCAACGATTTTGGCAACTGGTGTTTAAGAGGACAAGTTCTGGAATGGAGGCCATGTACCGGCAAGCACAGCGTTGGACGTCCACCTAAAAATCAAAATCAAAAATAATTTTATTTCAATAATTAACGTCCGTACCTATTCACAAACGATGCTTGCTTAAGTGAAGCAGCAAATCAAACGAACAGCGTTGAATACATTGAGCAGTGTTGGAATTCGTACTATAATTATAGTATTTGTACTATTATTTCATAGTAAATACTATATACTATCCTAATTACGAGATAGTACGAGATAATACTATATTTTTTATTCCGTTCCATTTTCCCTTATTTTAAGCTAAAATTTTACATTTGGCAACTTATATAAGAGGAAATTGCTGAAATGGTGATCAACATTCCATAGACAATATACTATTCTCAACCATTCTTAGATTCATATTTTTATTTAAATACTTTTTGCTATGAGAACTGGACCAATAACATTTTTATTAAAGGTTTCTTTATTCAATTAAACTTTATTTTTTCATTTAAATCCCTATTTACCTAACGTACTATATTTTTCAAGAAATACTATCTTTTTATCGTCCATAGACAATAATTTTCGAAGAGCGCAATTCCAACACTGACATTGAGTTATAATGTACTACGTAGTAATATTACTTCAATGGTTGAATACAGCTCTGTGATTGCTTCATGTGTCACCTTGTGCGTCCACGCGCACTGTGAGACCTCATAGTAATGTTTGTGAATACGGGCGTAAATGTATCAAGAAAAATTGCATGGAAAGCCTGGGAGTGTGACATTTCCTACGTACTGCTGCAACTAATGTGTTCGTTTCATTTCAGCCAAATGACGTCCACTGCTGGACAAAGGCATCCCCAAAGATTTCCACAACAATCGATCCTATAGTTCCAAAATACTGAACTGTCCTATGCATGACATTGACAGTGGGGCGCCACCGTCAATACCGGATCGCTGGTTCCGATTTTTGCCATGTTGGAAACCATATAGTTGAACGATGGTAGCGCCCCCCTGTCATTGAGTTTGGTGGGACAGTTGAGCTTGGGTCATCTTTACTGTGTAGTAGGCATGGAAATGATTGCTATTTTTCATTCATTTTCATTCTATGAAATGATGATTTTCTTTCATATGATTTCACATGCGAAATTTCACAGGCAATGATTTTTATTCGCAGTGTTTTAATGTAGCTCTTTCATATAATGTGCTACTTTTAATGAAGTATGAATTATGATGAAGGATTGCTAATTAGCTAAAATATGAAATGTAACAATGTCTGTTTCATTTATGTCGCACAACAAAAAACAAACAGTTTCACAGCACATTAATAACCGCGCGACCACGCGCGACTAATGAAAATCATTCATTTCATCTGCCTGCTATCTAATGAAATCACACGAATCATGACAAGGAAATCTAAACCTTACACCTTTGAGTTTAAAGTTCATATTTAAAATGCCCAGTTTCGTCCGTCATCACATCTCTTGTCCTTTTCTAACACGCACATGATCAAATCATTCCTTCTTACTCGCTCGGTCGATTCGCAGAGCTGCGCTCACGAACTTCGCTCGAATGAATGAATGAAATTCATGTGATTCGTGATTTCGTTGACTGTGAAATTATAGCAGTCTTTGTGAAGTAAAATAGCAGGTGTGATTAATGAAATTCATTTCATATGATTTTTCACCTGCTATTCATGAAATGTTCCATGCCTACTGTGTAGGCTAAGTCAGTACTGGCAGAAAGTTAAACTGTCATTGAACCCGTAATAATATTCGAAAAATCAAAGCCTTTAGTTATTACTCACACAGATGTTGCAAAAAAAGTCTCACTTACTGTCACATTAGGCATGGTAATATACAGTTTCTGAGTAAATAAGACATTACAAGTATATTTTGCACAAGAATTTACTGTAAATATTTAATACTAGCTTTCCGCCCGTGGCTTCGCCCGCGTGGAATTTTGTCTGTCACAGAAAAACTTTATCACACGCGTCCCTGTTTCAAAAACCGGGATAAAAACTATCCTATGTCCTTTCCCGGGATTCAAACTATCTCTATGCCAAATTTCATCAAAATCAGTTCAGTGGTTTAGGCGTGAAAGCGAGACAGACAGACAGACAGACAGACCGACAGATAGACAGAGTTACTTTCGCATTTATAATATTAGTATAGAAGTAAAGATAGATTTTCACAAAATTTTTCATTGATACGTATAAGTTTAGTATGTCAAAAATAAAATATAACTTTCAATGATTCCAGACTCAATATGTATGTTTTAGCAGAAGACGTATTCATTTCAGGACGTGTACCACATACCCCTGAGACCAGTAGACAAGATCCTGACGACCTGGACAGCCATAGACGAAGCCACACAAGACAACGGCTGCTTATTCGTCATCCCGGGGTCGCACAAGGCTAATATCATATACGAAGAGCATATCTTACCGGTAAGGGCGACGATCTGGAGGTGCTTGGATGCGAGAGGCGCAGGATCGGTCTTCGTGGAAATCCTTGGGGGAGGCCTTTGTCCAGCAGTGGACGTCTTTCGGCTGAAACGAACGAACGAAGGGCGTAACCGCTTTGTGGTCAAGTGGTAAGACCACCTGCTTCAAACGCAGAGGGTTCGATTCCCTAACGCAGAGGTTTGTCTTAAGTTCGACTGGCTACCTTCATCTTTTTTTTTTTTTTTATGCTAGCCAAGGCAGGTATTTGACCGCAATCGCACCTGGTGTTAAGTGAGATGCAGTCTAGGATGGTAGATATCTGCCCTGTAAGTGCCTATTCACTCTCTTACCGAAGTCTGTCGCCATAACAACGATGTTAACAGCATTGTTGTGTTCCAGCAGTCAGAAGTGAGATAGATAGTTCCTCTATGGTTGTGGATTCCGGGCAAAGCTTGCTTCAACCATCCGCCTGATTATCACTTTCCATCAGGTGAGATACAGGCCAAGAGCTTCTTCGTTGTGGTTAATCTTCGTAACATACAAATCGAGCAGAAACATAAGAAACACAGTCCGGATATAAGACATAACATAGGTTGAATTAAAAATGGTCATACCATTTTCGAAATATCAAGTTAAGGGACAATTTCAATTTTGGAAGACATAGTACAGTCGGTGGGCCGACGATCTAGTAAGAGCAGCAGGAAGCTTGACTAGCCTATGTGAAAATCCTTAGGGGAGGCCTTTGTCCAGCAGTGGACGTCATTCGGTTGAAAAGACAAGGAACAATTTCGGGATATGCAACAAGAAATAGCTCGAACTTCTGCCGTGGATACTAAATGATCTATATATATATACTAAATGAATGATGATGATGATTTATTGATTACCGACAACTTTATTGGTTTACAGGGTTTCGTCAACAGCTTATTCTTCTCGATAAAAGATTTAGACCTCCTTGCTCCAATGAAAAAGTGGGTGGCGCTGCCCATGAGGCCTGGAGACACTGTCTTCATCAACTCCTTGCTGATACACGGCTCGTTCCCAAATACCACCAAGGTAAATACTTAACAATTTTGTAGAGAGAATATTCATTGACACTACTATTAGGTCTAGCGGTCGGTGCTTGAGGAATGGGAGCGTCACGGGAGGCACTTCAGCTTGCTAATCCGTCGGTGTATGTCAGCGACTTTAATTCATTTACGGATATCTTAATTTAATTTTCTGATTCGATATCGTAAAGAAACGCCGAGCAAGCCCTTCCCATAGCACGCTGTGCAACTTTGAGCTTCTGTATAAAGCTTCAAGCACACCAACGCGTGCAGATTGCCATCGCCGGCGAGCATAGGCCAATGACAGGTCGCGCGACCCATGACAGTCCGTGCAACCTGTCATCAGGCCTGGCTCACTCCGCGTGGTACATCCGATAATTACCTACAGCGAAGCCCCCGCCGGCGGGTATTATATCAGTCGAGTGTCACGCGCTCGCCCGTCAGGACGCTGGCTTGCGTTTTAGTATGATTATAATTCTATGATCGAAGTATTATTTAAAAATGGACATAAAGAGAAAGAAATATTGTGCGGCGTTCGGGTGTTTAAATTCGAAAAGAAATTACCGGATTTATCTTTTTTTTTCGCTTCCCAAAGATGCTGAAATGTATGTTGGCCATGTAGGTAATCAATAATAAAATTCTTAGGATAGTATAGGATTCTTTTTTTTCTATAATAGTATGTTTAATTTATCTGTCTTATGTTAAAATAGGTAGGTATGAATGAAGACATTGTAATAGAACAAGTTTTTTTAATCTTAATTAGGTATATTTGAAATGTTATTTTTACTTACCTACATACGTACCTCATTACAAATAAGTAGATTAATTATTTTTTCACTAGACAGCAACCCTAACAGCGTAAGAAGAGTTCAGAGGCNACCTATGTTCAGCAGTAGACGTTTTATGGCTGAAATGATGATGATGATGAACTGGCATTCTCTCGGGAACGGTGGCTGTCAAGCAAGATGTTTAATTTATAATTACAATTTAACCACACCACATAAAATTATGGGATGTGACTCCTTTTTCACCACCAATACTTATTACAGTCAGTATTACAGCTTCACGGCAAATGAAACCCATGAAAGGGTGGTCCCAGGTAGGGTTTGTACCCGGGTAATCCCGGAACCGAAAGAACCGGGAAAACCCGGGTTTTTTCGACAGCTTAAGAACCGGGTTTTAAAAATTCAAAACCCGGTTCTTTCGGTACTTTCGGGTTTTGCATAGTTATCTAAAAATCTGTTATAGGTATTAGGCATGAGTCGTCACAAGAAAATTTGCGAACGTATAGAGAACCTAAAGATATCAGATTAGCTACTAATAAAGATTACCTGATTATTAGTTTTGTACTTTGTTTTTTTTTATGAGATATGTAAATATTTTAAGTATTTTTCTTAATTTTTTTTTAATACACTGGCACATTTTTGTGCGCTTACGCTGCGACAGGTTATACAGAAGATTGAGGAGTATAACTTGCCACTATGCTTGGCGTTCGTAGATGGCGGTCTTCGATTCGATCGGGTCTTGGGCAGTGCTTACAGTCTCTTCAGCGGTGCCGTATTGACTATCGGTATATCGAGGTGCTGAAGTGCTTGTACAAAAACGCCACCATGTCGGTCCGAGTAAAGGAGCAGAACACGAGGACGATTCCTCTGCAGTGAGGCGTTGGGCAGGGAGATGTTATATCTCCTAAACTGTTCACCACTGCATTGGAAGACGCTTTCAAACTCCTTGAATGGAAAGGATTCGGCATAAACATTAATGGCGAGTACATCACTCACCTTCGGTTTGCCCACGATACTGATTGTGGTCATGGCAGAATCGTTGTAAGATCTTGGCACAATGCTCAAAGACCTTAATCGAGTTTCCTAAGAGGTAGGCCTGAGGATGAATATGGACAAAACAAAGCTTACCTATGTCCAATGTCCATGTTGCGCCCTACCCAGTTTCGGTTGGGAGCTCAATCCTCGAGATTGTTGACAAGTATGTCTACCTCGGACAAATTAACGATCCAGCTAGGTAGGTCCAATTTCGAAAAGGGGGTCAATGTCGAATCCAACTCGGCTAGGCAGCGTTCGGGAAACTACGCAACATCTTTTCATCCAAAATACCTCTGTGCCTGAAGACGAAAGTCTACAACCAATGTGTGTTACCAGTGATGACTTATGGCTCGGAAACGTGGCTTCTCACTATAGGCCTTATACAGAAGCTCAAAGTTGCACAGCGTGCTATGGAGAGGGCTATGCTCGGAGTTTCTTTACGAGATCGAATCAGAAATGAGGAGATCCGTAAATGAACTAAAGTAGCGAATTTAGTTCATTTACGGATCTCCTCATTTCTATGTCAGCGGACTCAGGGCCGCCGATGCCAGGCTGCCGATGGGGCAGGAAGGTCCTGGAATGGAGGCCGCGTACCGGAAAACGCAGCGTGGAACGTCCACCCACAAGGTGGACCGACGACATCATAAAGGTAGCAGGGAAGCGCTGGACGCAGGCCACTACCAATCGATCAACATGGAAAGCATTGGGGGAGGTTTATGTTCAGCAGTGGACGTCCTATCCTATGGTTTATAATTTAAACAAATAATAAAAATAATATAATTAACTTTTTAAAATAATAAAACCGATTTCAAATGCGTGAACACAAAAAAAAACTAAAAATTAAAAATATTGCGTATAAAAAAGTTCATCCCCAATTTTCCACCCTTGGGGGTGAAATATTTTCTTCAAATTCGCATGAAACCACCCTTTTGATAATACCTATTCAACAAAAAAAGAATCGTTCAAATTGATTTATAATCAGCGGAGATATTGCGTATAAAAAAGTTCATCCCCAAATTTCCACCCTTGGGGGTTGTTTCATCATTTAAACTTTAAATGATGATGATGATGTTATTTTTGTATAAGAGTTGGCAACACTGACTCCTTTATTTGCTTTGCATCTGACAGTCAATATATAAATAGTCAAATATATCGTTAAGTTGGATGAAAAAGACTGATTGTTGTACCTCAATTGAAAACTAATTATTTTACTTTTTTTTATTTTTGTGAGTAGAATTTAGTAAAAATAGAAAAATATTGTAAATCATGTTTGTTGATTATTCCTAGTCTATTCAATGAAGTGTTATTTCAATAAAAAAAAACATAATCAAAATATTGTTTGTTTGGAACCGAAAGAACCGAAAAAACCGAGGCTCCCGGTTCTTATGACCACCAGACCCGAAAAACCCGGTTCCTCAAACCAGAACCGATTCTGCATTCCCTAGCCCAGGTGATGCCTTAACAGTCAGGCAGGATAAAAGCTTTCAATGTTGTTTATAACGGCCCGACATTCAATAAACGACGTGTTCTAACCTCGTTTTCATTTTATTAGACTAGCTTTTGCCCCTGACTTTACCCGCGTGATCTTTGATTTGTCACAGAAGGAATATGGCGCGAGTGCTCAATCAAAGACTGATAATATACTAAGTTTTTTCTGGGTCCAACTATGTCATCTAAATCGGATCAGTGGTATAAATAAGCATGAAGAGGTAACAGACAGACTTTGCATTTATGATATTAGTACTGATTAATTTTATCAGCCAAATAACTACTGGACAAAGGCATCCCCCAAGGCTTTCCATCTCATCAGTCATCCAGGTTATTCCCGCGNTTTTTATGGAAAAAAGGCTCTTAAAATCTTCTAATTGTAAAGTCTGCCACTGTTGATTGACATTTACAAATACTGTCCAACACCATTAGAAAACTAGGCACAAAATACAAGCAGCTATCTGCTATTGTCACCAACCGCGTGTTCCATATGCATTCGTATTGTGCTCGTCAATGATATGTATCTTCCAGAATACAATGCTGACGTGCCTTTTGTCGGCACTCCGATGTTTTTTCCTCTTCTATTTGTATTCGATAGATGTGCTGACATGTATTGGTTAGGATGGCCGTTTATAGGAAGTTAGTTAACACTTGATTTTGATTAAGTACAAATTAAATCTAAATGTCAAAAAAGTTAAACGCGCGATGAACACTGGTTTAAAATGTCATTTTAGTGACAGATTTATTATCTGTGGTCAAAAACTGTCACGATATAATGTTAGGTTCTTTTAGGTCCCATTTGCTTATGTAATTAACTTATTATTTTAATTGAGGTAAAATGCAAATATTCCTCGATTATTTATTATTATGTTTTCTTTAATAATTACTGATGTTTAATTAGGATCATTAGTAGTTAATATCATTTATAATTACTATCAGTTACACGTCTCTTCATTAGACTAATAACATTATTAGGTACCGCAGAAATTCTTGTCGGTTTTTTCTTTTATCTATTGAATCTAGATTAGCTTGTAATGCATTATTCAATTAAGCAAAGTGGCATGTTTAATAGACTCTAGACTTCTTAATACTCCTACTAGTGCTTTTACACGGAATATCTGGAAAACTATCGATATATCGATTTTTTATATCACTGGAAAAAGGCCATTTTAAAGATGAAATAAAACTTTATAAACTTGATAGTTGTCTATTAAACGAACCGCTTGCAAATCAATCAAGTTACACAATAATTATTTTAATTTTAAAGAAAAAATTGTGTCACACATGACTAAATAGTTACGTCTTGTCATTGTTCCGATTTGTTTGTTTACTATTAATAGCTGTGTACTACACAAAAGATAGTAGTGTAAAATACTCAATACTATCTGCATTGACAGATATTTAGGTATTGTCTGAGCTAACTCGGCGCTTAGAATGGTTGTCTAAACATTCTTAAAACCATTTAACGTGCTAATCAAACTCGGTAATCACCTATCTCCGCTCTGAAAGTTACTTTTCGTCANGCGCGGACACGTCGTGGAAATCAATTTTTGACGACTTAAGATTTTTTTTAAATTACTTAATTTACTATTATTAACTATCTCTGTGGTTTAACAACAAGAACCAAAGTTATACTATTAGATAAAAATATTTGTTACTAAAATATTATGATATTCGGGTACTTTTTGGCCCCGGACACGTGATTTTCTTGGCCGGTGGAATGACCCAAGATAGGCCTGTAGACGCAGTGCGGCTGCTATTTTTTAAATTTAGGAACTTACGAACAGATGAGAAAAAACGAATTACTCCGTAATCTTGGGGAATTAGGATAATAATTTGGAGCTTGGCGGTTTTCGTACCTATTTAGTTAACAACGTCAGTTAAACCTTTACCTGGTAGTGGCTGAATTGTTGCCACCATATTTTGAACCTTATTGAGAAAACATAAGGTACAAAACTAATGAAAAATATTTTTCTCTATACTAGTTACAACTCCGTAAAAACAATGTAATCTAATGTAATGCGTAACTTTGAATCATATTATTTAAAAAAATGTTTTTTTGTATGCTAGACAAGGCAGGTATTTGACCGCAATCGCACCTGGTGTTAAGTGAGATGCAGTCTAGGATGGTACATATCTGCCCTGTAAGTGCCTATTCACTCTCGCCTTGAAAACGCCCGGATTATAGTGTTCAGGAAATACTTATTTGGGGTGTATTACTCAGGTGTATTACTTATTTGGGGCTCTTATTTATACGTTTAGGTAAATAACCTGTGTGTGAAAACACAAATTATCTTCTTGGACTGGTAGTATTTTTAACTTGGTATTTCAATACGACCAGATGTTCTCGGAGTGAGTCTACCGTGACTAAAGCGTTACGCATTTACGATATTATAATTAGACGCTATTCTTACTGCACTTCCTCAAGCACATCTTAAATTAGACTTGTTACTCGAATTACCTTTCAAAGTGCATTGCTCTCGTATGAAAATAGATTTGCATTTTAGCGACGAGACTATCAGACCAATGTAAATATAGACTATTCACCAATAGGGTCGCTTTCTTCACTGTGGAAAAGTAGACAAAAATATTTTTCCCACCATATTAAGAAAATTTGACCTTTAATTGGTCGCGCGGGGTCCATTGGACCTCAAGCAAGTTAGTGTGTCATATTTCAGCAAATGTTACTTTTTCAAAAATAAATCCTGGAGTCCGTCGGGCCCCACGCAACTAATAGTGTATTAGGCGCGACTAGCCAAAGGTTAAGGTAGAAAGAAGATTAGTATTTTAGAGTCCCTAGGTCATCCTACTAATATTATAAATGCGAAAGTCTGGATGTCTGGATGTTTGTTACTCTTTCACGCAAAAAACTACTGAACGGATTTTGATAAAACTTTACCGTATTATTGTTTATAACACAGAATAACATATAGGCTATAATATTATGACGATCTGTGACAATCGAAATTTCACGCGGGTGAAGTCGCGGGCAAAAGCTATGAACAATATCGCTTTAAGACAGTACAATTCCGCAAATTGCCACTTCATTCATGTCATGTTAATATAACTACATTAACTACAGCTGCGGGTTTAAATCCCAATGGACCATAATATTATAAGTGCGAAGTAATTGGACGTGTGTGTAGGTTACCGTATGTAGTAATAATCTATTCATAGGTTTGTATTTAAGTTACTATGCTTACCAATTCGTTACCTGATCGTCAAAGAATAAGCTAAACTTGGGGCTACTTAATAT